GAACGCAAAAGAAAAAAAATCTAGTGCGTGGGAACGCAAAAGAAAAAAATCTATTGTGTGGGAACGCAAAAGAAAAAAAATCTAGTGCGTGGGAACGCAAAAGAAAAAAATCTATTGTGTGGGAACGCAAAAGAAAAAAAATCTAGTGCGTGGGAACGCAAAAGAAAAAAATCTATTGGGTGGGAACGCAAAAGAAAAAAATATAGTGTGTGGGAACGCAAAAGAAAAAAAATCTAGTGCGTGGGAACGCAAAAGAAAAAAATCTATTGGGTGGGAACACAAAAGAAAAAAAATCTATTGCGTGGGAACACAAAAGAAAAAAATCTATTGCGTGGGAACACAAAAGAAAAAAATCTATTGCGTGGGAACGCAAAAGAAAAAAATCTATTGGGTGGGAACGCAAAAGAAAAAAAATCTATTGGGTGGGAACGCAAAAGAAAAAAAAATCCCATGTCCCCTCGCAGGCTCCGTAGCATGATGCACCATATTTACAAAAATAAAAAAATAATTAAAAAAAGAACATTTTAGATGTTTTGTAATCTGTCATGTGTGCACAAATAAATTCTTTCCTTTCATCATCTTGCTAAAATGTTAAAAAAAATATTTCGCTGGTGGAATATTGAAGTGGCTAAGAGGCCGAATTTGCAAAAAAAAAAACAAAAAAAACTAGCCTTTCAGTTTGAGGTTCTGAAAATAAATATTTAGCTTTTTTTAAACTGTGGTCTAAAAAAAAGTTTGATAGAAAAAAAAAATCAGTGGAGAAATGAGTAAGAAAAAAAAATTTATTCGTTTTGACGCATGGCATTCATATTTCCCCGGAACAAATTAAATGAAGACTGCTACTGGGTTTAGTTATGACCTGAAACGTTAACGAGCATTTATGAACAGTCAGTGTTTCTGTCATCCATCTAAATTACACTTTGGTTCAAAAGTAAATCTGAAAAAAAAAAAGTGTCTTGAAATAAACATGAAAAGTGCTTTAATAAAGTTAGGGGAGAATTTCCATGTTAAACACTTGGTGAAACAACAGGTGCTGAGCTGAGACACTAATTCACAAACCAGGGCTTTTTATTACAAAATAACAAAAACAAGGAATAAATTAACTGGACATTTGAAATATTTAAATCATATTTTTGAAAGAAGTCAATTTGGTCGAGTGCTTCATCAACATTTGGACACAACTTACTGTAGAAGTTAAATAATCTTTCATAGATTACCAAAAAAAAAAGGCAAAAACAAACTGAAATAAAAATTGTTTAGTTATTTAGTAGTTCAATACTTAGTGTTAAACACAAAAGCCATTGTGACGTTGACTTTAAAGTAGGAATCTCTAAAACTAAAGCTGCATTCAGCGATTAACAGATTTAATAAGTAGTTAAATTAAAGGACTCAGTCTAAATATAACTTTAATGCTCAAAACCCAAGTTCTGGATTAGATCTTTTGAAGAACACGTGACTTCCTCTACAGAGAGAATATCCTGCTCCTCACCCTCCAACACTGTTTGAACGCAGCCGTCAGCTAAACCAGGACCGGGGTGAGCTTCAGAGGTTCGTTTCTTCACCAATTATGAAATAACATCATGGTGATAAATCATAACCTTAAATGAACTAAAAATATATAATAAAATAATGAAATCAGAGACCCAACAGCTGCCAAAAAATTTAACTTATTCAACAAGATTTTCATGTTGTGATTATTAAAAAAAACAATCGAGTCACTTTTGAGGCCGTGTTCTGTTCAATAGTATCAGTTGTCATCAGTCATAGAGAAGGAAGTGATGAAAACGGCAGACTTTTTAAAACAAATCTCCTAAAAATGATGATATATAAAATATTATATATGTCCTAATGTCTGCTTGAAGCTGCTGAACGTACAGGTCAGACTGGAGCAAACTTTAACCTCGTATCAAGATGCATTACAGGAAACCGGCCTTTGATTGGCTAACCATTAGCCTAGCCTGGTGAGAGACTTTTGCACTGTTTTCACTGTACGTGCTCTCCGACTGATATTAGTTAAGAAACTGCTGATAACTATTTGACAGAACACCAACCTCAATACGATCATCCCTTTAGAACAAAATATGTCACAACTCATTAAATAACCTCAAACTTTCACTAGAGGTTAATCATTCTTAAACGAGCTGAAGCAGACCTTTTGTTTTTCCAACTTTAGATGAATAAAATCAAGAAGAAACACTTTACCTTGCTCAACCTTTTTAGGAACATATTTTCATGTTCTGGTTGATAATAATTAGTAAATGGTTGACTCAATCAGCCCCTCCCAGCCTCTTATCAATAAGTCCTGTATCAGTGAGCAACAATCAGACAGTCCTCATCGTGACAACACACTGAACTTTGGAACAGTGATGCTGAAATGGTCTGGAAACCTTTGGGTTTGTTTGACACATTTTACAGATTCTTTAAGTTTAAAGCATCCGAAACAACAAATCTGTGTGAAAATAAAAAAACAGAGCCGAGTTAGAAGAGACCTGCTGCTTCGTGGTGAAAGTCGGTCAGCGAAACTGAAAAGCTTTTAGTGGGAAAAACAACAACAGCACACCTTTCATTAACCGTTTCTGACATGGCTAAGCTACGGGTCACTAAGCTGCAGAGCGATGATGGATACGGAGTTCAATTCATAAAGTCCACGTTTGAGCAGAAGCTCCACTCGGTCCACCGCTCCACGTAGCTCCGTCTGCTTTGAGGCAAAAAAGACCGCAGGAAGGACAGCTAATAATGACCAAAGGAAGGAGACCGGGTTCTTTAAATAAGTGTGTCCATACGTCACTGAAACTAAGGCATCATGAGGGGGAAACATTAATATGCAGTGACACTTATGGACAGAAAGAATAAACCTGCTCAAATTAAATCAGCTGAACAGAAGGCAGATGAAGATTTATAAAAATAAAAAAAGACAAACTGCTTAGAAAGCAGAACAATAACAAAGCCAGAGCATAAAGCAACAGAGAAGGTGGACAGAGCCATCTAAAAGGCATGCAGCAGTTCGGCTCGTCGTCCGTCACTCCACTCGCGGAGCAGCGCTGAGGGTCGGGACTGACTGTGCTCACAGGTCCAGGCGTCAACTAGACAGGAAGAGACCTGTTCCATGTTGCTTCCTGGCCAGGTAACCTGGGAAAAGCAGGGTGGGGGCGGGCGGGTAGTCGTTTCTCAGACGGGGGCAGAAAAAGAGGCTCGACGGCGGCAGACGTTCAGTGCCTTGAGGGCCCGTTGCTCTGGGTGACGGAGTCGGAGATCTCCAGGAAGGCGGAGCGCATCAGGCTGAAGGACTTGTCTGAGAGAGACGACACATCGTCCACCGTCATCCCTTTTGTCTCAATCTTTGGAAGGATCTTTAACTTAATGGTCCCTGCGGAGACAGAAAACTGCAGTGTCAGAAAACTCGCGAGCGTGCACTCGAAAGGTTTGAACTTTCTGACGTACCTGATCTGAACTGCTTTTCTTTCCGAAGGTAGAAGTTGTTGTAGGAGGAGAAAACTACAGGTATGATGGGAACCTGCAAGAGTTGACAAAAAGAAACAAGATTCATCACATCAGTGTGTGATTAGAGTTGGGAGATAGTTTCAAAAAGTAATCCCAATTAATTACGGTGTTTAGCCAATAACTATTAATAGGTTAACGCCCTGGATACGCCATGTCCAAAGTCACATGACTGATTTAAATCACCCCAGCAGGAAAGATACCCCCTCTGTTTCTGTTTCCTCCTCAGTCCCTCTCACATGTGGGGTTCCCCAGGGTTCCATTCTTGGTCCCAGTTTATTTTCCCTATACATGCTACCCTTAGGCTCTATTTTTAGAAAATTTAACAACCTTTTTCATTCCTACGCAGATGACACTCAGATCTATTTTCGATTAAAGCACAATAAGACTTCATTAAAACCACTCTTCGACTGCCTCACTGAGGTCAAAACGTCTAACTTCTTCTAACTTTTTAAATTCTAACGACACTAAAACTGAAGTTATTATTTTTGGACCCAGTGTTAATCACAGTGCTTCTCCTATAGATCTTGGTAGATTAGAGTCATCTGTAAAATCCCATGTCAAAAATTTGGGGGTGCTCTTCGATTCAAATTTTAACTTTGAGAAACAGATTAGTTCTGTAGTAAAGAGATCGTTTTTTAAACTTAGACTTTTGTCTAAAGTTAAATCATTTTTACCCTTCAGAGATTTTGAATGTGCAAATTCTAGTTGTAACATGTGAAGCACTTTGGCCAACGGCAGTTGATTTTACATGTGCTATATAAAGTTGACTTTACTCTAAGAATCTGTTTCAATTTGCATTTAACAGTACACAAGCTACACAAACTATAGCTAGTTCAAGCTATACACCAGTTTTTATATTGTGTTGATAGACCAAGTAAAGCCAGAGTTATGGAAAATAATTCTGAATGACTGTCTTATTTGATGAGCATTGAAGCAGAAGGAGAAAAAAAAAGCTCAATCCAGCGTCAGACTCCCAAAGTTATTTGACAAGTGAAAAACTAATTTACAGGAAGAAAAAAAAGACATGAAAGTTGGAGTTCGGCAGCAATGGAGTCAACAAGAGTGGGAGAAAATAACAACAGGGGACAGACACTCCACCCTCCACACCCTGTTCCTTTCCACCCTGCCCCAGTAATACGGTATACCGCAGTATTATCTAAAGGTATGTCGGTATGAAAAACATTAATACGACCCAACCCTATCCCCAACTAGGCCTGTCACGATAACAAATTTTGCTGGGCGATTAATTGTCTCAAAATTTATTGCGATAAGCGATAATATTGCCTGGTGACCGTTTTACAACTAATAATTATAAAAGCATAATATGTAAGTGTAATAAATCAATAAACTTTCATTTTTAAAAGAATGTTTAACAAAGTGGACTCTCAGTCTCCAAAATGTAAATTAAACACCACACACAACTAAGACAGTAAATAAACAATATTAAAG